ATCCCACAATAAGTGATTGACATTATGGTGCATTTTCAACTTTTGAGTGAATTGGATATGAATATATATATATATATATATATATATATATACGTATATACATATGTATATATATATGACTAATCCAACATTCAAAACAACAGCAACGTTGAAAGCGGAATTAACATATAAGCCCAGGATGGCCTTTTACTCTTGACGTCTTCATGTAAAATTTTTTAGATATAAACACCCGCTATTTGACGAACAGGTAGTCTGTGTCGTGTTTGTGTTGGTCACTCAGGATGGCCTTTTACTCTTGACGTCTTCATGTAAAATTTTTTAGATATAAACACCCGCTATTTGACGAACAGGTAGTCTGTGTCGTGTTTGTTGTTGGTCACTCCGCCAAGTTTGAACATTCCCTGTGCAATAGTCAGCGTTGTAAAGCAGTTAGACTAGTTCCCAATCAGCTGATACATGTTGCAATGTACCTGCATTACCGTCTGAATTGTGGTGAAAGCGTTGACGATTCCTAAACCGTTACATAACGTTCTGACTTACTTTACTTGGGGCATTCTCATGGGTTAGCCCTACGCAACATCCTGGGCCGAATGTTACAAATAATGTAACCGTCCTACTCTCCTCTGCACCAATTGTCCGCCGACGCTAACTATTTATTATCAAACTGTCCATCCGAGGGCAACCATCCACGATCTTTTTCGGTTCCTCTGTCAGATTACTTGAAATAAAGATACGATAATTTGCCGCATTGGTTACTTTTTTCGACTCTAGGTAGTTTAGCCAAAACCAGCTGTAGAGGGATACCTGGATTCTGGCTTACAGTCCTGAAACATGCACCTCTGATATGCGATGCTATTCAGCCAGCTGATATACCTGCACTGAAATGTTTAAAGGACATACGATCGGTCGCGATCGAATCAAACGGGCAGCCAGTAAGTGGCTTTTCTCAGAAACACTTGGGTGGTTACGTTTACTTCCCTTTCAGCATGTCCAGTCAATGGAACTTCAGTGTGTTCATAGCAGGGTTTGAATTGAAGCACTTTTTTCTTCCCGGTTTGACTTGTTAACCCCCAATGACATATGATGAATACATAATCCAATTTCGCAATAAAAACTATACCATATCCCTAAACAGCTCTTAACACCTTCAGATCAACAGAAGAAATGTAATCTGCCGAGCATTGTGTGTTTACCAGCTTATGGATGCTCATGTATACAGTACTATACCTATCTAATTCAACCGGTAATGACACTCGCTCTTTAGAAGAACGTTCAAGCCTTTCAAATCTCCCGCACAAAGGAGTCACGAATGAGGGTCAACTGCGAAATTGAACAAAAATAACCTCCAAATAGAATGTAGTGTCCTTCAATAATCCTATCGTTATGGTGTTCGTTTATAATATGACCGGACAAGTACACTAGGCAATATCAGACAGACGTGGCTCGCCAGAATCTTCCTATGGACATTCTAAAATAATCAGTCACCAAACCAAAAAACGGCATTCACTGGATCAGTTGAACAGTGACCTTCACAAGGCCTACCTGCTGGCTGTTTCACGGCAATTGCAAATAGTGAAATTCACACAAGCTACCTGAACAGATACCTATTGAAAGAAACACGATACATTAAAGTAGTCTTTCTTACCGTGCGTTAGGCACAAGCGTTGTGGAGACGCACAGATTGTCCTAAATTTTGACGGATATTTATACTCTGGGGTCCTTCATTACAGGATGACTAGAGAACATGTGACGATAAGTCAAATGGGAGACAGTTTTCAGGTGATGCGCTAATCCAAATACGTTGGATCATATCAACGTGATCCTCACCGTGCCTGGTTGGAGACACTACAAGATATGGCTGCCAACCGATGTTGGTGACGTTCTTGTTGTCAGTTTCTATCCAGATTGCTTGAATGAGTGCTTGGAGGTGTAGGCACCCCGGATGATTGTAATAAGCTAGCACCAAGTCCCTTCCCCGTCCACTTTTACTCTTTTCTTCAAAATAAGGCTTTCAAATAAAGCATGGTTGTACGGCAGTGAAGCATCGGTGTTGAAAACTGATGTCATGCCCTCGATGATGATGATAGTGATGATGATAAGTGTACTATGACTAGTTGTGACTATCACAGTTTTGAAGCTCACATGGAACTATGAATAGGATGAAATCGGCTGGTTATATGATCATGAGGTCCCATCATTTTTCATGCTGTTCAAAAATGTCGGGCTTTTATTTTGCCTCCCGTTCTTATAAGCGTTATGAAGATTTTTTTGACAGCTTGTCATGGCCTACGATAGATGTCCACTAATACCCTATTTAATGAACTCACTTCCAAACTGCTTTTCGCCCAAGTTCGGTGGCTCTATTTTACGTTCTCAG